CTGCCTTCATCAACATGTGTGAATTATGAGCAGTAAATGGATTTTATCACAGTATACTCAATGCCCCCAGATGGAGAATAAAGAACAGCCCAAGGCCAGCCTTTGGAAAGAGTCTCTACATCCCTAACCATGAGAATCCTGTTAAGGACTACAGATTTCTAACACTATCAGAAGTTCAAGAAAAAGAACTGAGAATGGCTGAAGGGGAGGAGGGCATGGTGGGATGCAAACAGAACCTTCCTTCAAACCCCCTCATAAGAAAAGGCTTCCTGGACAGAGGCCTGCTTGCTTGCTGGCAAACAGATCCAAAAATAGACTCTATTAGTCCTGTTGTTTACCTGCAGTATTTCTCAAGCACTGAATTTATAACCTTTTGAAACAAAATGATATGCAGTTTTCCAATTTGGGAGCAAACTCTAGCCTTGTGTGCATTATTAAGTCTTATTGGGTTTTTTTGTTGTTTTTATTTTTATTTTTTTGTTTGTTTTTATTTTTAAGTCTTTATTTTCCCTTAATTAATTGATAGTTTTGCTGGGTATAGAATTATACATTGAAAATTGTTTTCTCTCCAAATATTGAGGCCCCTGCTCCTATATGGATGGGAAAAGTGGGATATTATTTATTTTTGAAAGTTTTTTGGATCTACTCTTTGCCCCAGCATTTGTTTGTGATGTGCCTTAATAGATTCTGAGGGTATTTTGAATTTCAGTTCTAGGAAGTTTTATTGAAATATTTTGAATAATTTTATCCTCCAGTTTTTTTGTAATCTTTTGTTTTGGAACTCTCAATATTTGGATTTTGAGCACAAGATTAATCCTTTACCTTTCTTAGCTTTTTCTGTTTAAAAATTTTTTTTGATACTTGATTCTGTATTTAAGATTTCTTCAACATTTTCTACCAAATCATCTAAAGAATTTAGAAGCTCTTTTTACAAAAGTGTAACATAAACAGCAGAAACAGTGTCAGACTTTATTTTGGGGGACTCCAAAATCACTGCAGATGGTGATTGCAGCCATGAAATGAAAAGACACTTACTCCTTGGAAGGAAAGTTATGACCAACCTAGATAGCATATTAAACTGAGGAAGAGGAAAGAGAAAGAGATCATGAAAGCAGAAAGTCAAGCTGAAGAATGTAATCTTGTGAACTTTCAGAAAGCATCCTCAGCCAAGACGGTGGGGATGTCTCCTAATCGGATGTTAAGCAGCATCCCCAAGGTTGACCTCCACATGATGCTGAGATGAAACATATTTCCATGGAGGATGCTAAGGCCCATCTGCTGGAAGGTCGGCAGAACAAGAAGAAAGACAGGGAGACATCCTCTGCCTTCATCAACATGTGTGAATTATGAGCAGTAAATGGATTTTATCACAGTATACTCAATGCCCCCAGATGGAGAATAAAGAACAGCCCAAGGCCAGCCTTTGGAAAGAGTCTCTACATCCCTAACCATGAGAATCCTGTTAAGGACTACAGATTTCTAACACTATCAGAAGTTCAAGAAAAAGAACTGAGAATGGCTGAAGGGGAGGAGGGCATGGTGGGATGCAAACAGAACCTTCCTTCAAACCCCCTCATAAGAAAAGGCTTCCTGGACAGAGGCCTGCTTGCTTGCTGGCAAACAGATCCAAAAATAGACTCTATTAGTCCTGTTGTTTACCTGCAGTATTTCTCAAGCACTGAATTTATAACCTTTTGAAACAAAATGATATGCAGTTTTCCTATTTGGGAGCAAACTCTAGCCTTGTGTGCATTATTAAGTCTTATTGGGTTTTTTTGTTGTTTTTATTTTTATTTTTTTGTTTGTTTTTATTTTTAAGTCTTTATTTTCCCTTAATTAATTGATAGTTTTGCTGGGTATAGAATTATACATTGAAAATTGTTTTCTCTCCAAATATTGAGGCCCCTGCTCCTATATGGATGGGAAAAGTGGGATATTATTTATTTTTGAAAGTTTTTTGGATCTACTCTTTGCCCCAGCATTTGTTTGTGATGTGCCTTAATAGATTCTGAGGGTATTTTGAATTTCAGTTCTAGGAATTTTTATTGAAATATTTTGAATAATTTTATCCTCCAGTTTTTTTGTAATCTTTTGTTTTGGAACTCTCAATATTTGGATTTTGAGCACAAGATTAATCCTTTACCTTTCTTAGCTTTTTCTGTTTAAAAAATTTTTTTGATACTTGATTCTTTATTTNTACTGGAGTGGGTTGACATTTCCTTCTCCAGGGGATCTTCCTGACCCAGAGATAGAACTCGTATCTCCTGCATTGGCAGGTAAATTCTTTACTGCTGTGCCTCCAGGGAAGCCTGGAGTTTGATGAGTGCCCTCCAAATAATCACATCTTGTCTCCACCCCAACTCATATGGAGAAATAAAACCATATCCCCACCCAAGAAGTCTCTAACAGTCCCTGTCTCTCAAGTGCTTCCTTTCCCTCCCCTCCAAAGGTGGCAGAAGTTCTGATTTCTAACACCAGACTTCAATTCTGTGTACTTTTGAACTTTATATAAATGGAGTTATATTTTATGAAGCCTTTTGCTTCTGGTTTCTTTCACTCAACTTTAAGATTTTCAAATTCTTCCCATGTTGTTGCATATAGTTGGAAATGTTTAATAGCTTTAGATTATTAATATTTTGTTATATCTATTCTGTTGACAGATATTTAAGTTGTTTTTGATTTGTGACCATTATTAATAGCATAGTTATAATAATTCTTGTACAAGTCTTACACACACACATACACAAGTAAAACTGCTACCCTAGGTCATGAGTTTATCAAACATTAGTGGATAATGTCAAACCATTTTCCAAGGGTTATACTACCTTAGCCTTCCTTTGACAGTTGATGTGAGATTTGCTCTGTGTACATGTGTTCACTCACTCAATCATGTCTGACTCTTTGCGAACACCATGGACTATAGCCTGCGAAGCTCCTCTGTCCATGAATTTTCCAGGCAAGAATACTGCAGTAGGTTGCCATTTCCTCTTCCAGGAGATCTTCCTTACCCAGAGATTGAACCCAAGTCTCCAGTATCTCCTGCATTGGCAGGTGGATTCTTTACCACTGCCTTTATTTTCTCTTTATCTTTGGTAATACAAGACAAGACAATCAAGGTATTGTCTGCCTTTTCCAAATGGTTTTAATTTGCACACTCATCATTACTAATAATGTTGATCACCTTTGCTTCTGTTTATTAGCGATTTGGAGATCTCTCATGAAATGCCTGTTCAAATCTCTTGCCTATATTCCTGCTTGGTTGTCTGTCTTTTTTCTGAATAACTCAGTATCGTCTGGATTGGAACCTTTTGTTGTTATATGGGTCATGGTTCTATTTCTCACTCTGTGGTTAGCCTTTTCATGTTTTTGTGTCTTTGATAAATAAATTGTCTTGAGTTTAATGTACTTATTATGGTTTTTCAGTCTTTTCTTTATGGTTAATGGTATCTGTATACTTTTTAACAAATCTTTTCCCCTCCCAAGGTCCTGATGATACTCTTCATGTTATCTTGTTGAAGTTTCATTATTCAAATTTTCACATTTAGTTCTAAAATCCACTTGGAATTGATTTTTGTGCATAGCATGAGATGGGAATCAAGTTTCACCTTTTTGCATATGGATATACATTTGATTCTTCACTATTTATTGAAAGGCAGCTATGCTCACCACTATATCACCAACGCTTCACTATTTATTGAAAGACCACCCTTTGCCCAGTGCTCTGAAAAGTCATCTTGGTCAAAAAGCAAGTGTCCATATATGAGTGGGTCTGTTTTTGGATTCTCTTCCTGGTATGTCAGTGTATTTGTTTCTCCTTGGCCAGATACCTCTTGTTTAACTTACTTGAATTCTTAATAAACTCAAAACCCAGCAGTGAAAACCCCTCCACTTTGCTCTTCTCCAAGATGTCCTTAGCCGTTGTTAACCATTTGCATTTCCACAAATTTTTTGAATAACCTTGTGAAAATTCACGAAATGCTACTGGAATGTCAATTCAGATTGAATCTACATGTTGCTGTGAAGGTATTTTTCAGATGAGATTAATGTTTAAATCAGTGGACTTTGAGTAAAGCCAATTAACGTGGATGGGCCTCATCCGATCAGTTGAAGGCTCAAAGAGAAAAGACTGAAGACCCTTGAGGAAGAAGGAATTCTGCCTCCAGACTGTACTCGGACTCAAGCTGCAACATCAACTTCTTCTGGGTCTCCAGTCTGCCAGACTTGCAAGTCCCCACAAGCTCATGAGCCAAATATTAAAAAAATCTTCCTCTCTCCATATACATATATACACACATTATATATATAATGTATGTATGTATGTATATATATACACACACTATATGTATATACTGTATATATATATACACATATATACTGTGTGTGTCTGTGTGTGTGCTCAGTCAATAAGTCATGTCTGACTCTTTGTGACCCCATGGACTAGACTGTAGCCCCATGGACTATACACACACACACACACGTGTGTGTGTGTGTGTGTGTGTGTGTGTGTGTGTGTGTGTGTTAGTTGCCCATTTGTGTCTGATTCTTTGCAACCCCATGTACTGTAGCCCACCAGGCTCCTCTCTCCATGGAATTTTCCTGGCAAGAACACTGGAGTGGGTAACCATTCCCTTCCCCAGGGGATCAAATCCAGTTTTCCTGCTTTTTAGGCAGATTCTTTACCATCTGAACCACCAGGGATATATATATGTATGCATACATATATATATTTATCTTCTATTGGTTCTTTTTCGCTGGAGAGCCTTGACTAATACATAGATCATGTCCATGGCTGTCTAGGCTATCCATGAATAGTGTTGGGCCTATATTTGGTTATTGTCATTATCTGCTCTGGTTAGTGATACTAATTCTAGTTTCATTTATTCTGTAAATAACTCTGAACGCCTCCTATATTCTGAGCAATCTATTGGACTTTTGCACAAACAAAAGTAGCTGTGTTTTGAGCCTCAATTTCATTTATTAGTGAAAATAACATTTTGGTTCACAGGGGTTTAATGAAACTTTTTAAAGATGAGCTATCAAATTAATTTATTTCTGTTACTTGAGAGAGTTGTACGTACACATATAGGGAAGGAGTGATAAAGAGACTTGAACTCAAAAGCTAACTCAGGTAAAGTGATGGTGGCTGCCCAGAGCCCTCCTGTGTGGGAAGACATCTGAGAAGTACTTGGGTTCCAAGAGAAAGGGGCCCATTTGTGAAGTCCCCCTTGGACATCATGGGATAATGAGCATCATTGGTACCCTGCTTTTGTCATCTTCAGATTCTGCTTCTTAAGGACTCAGTGACTTGATCGTGAAAGTCAGGGCTTGGTCATGTTGGTGCTTGGGCTGGCGGTGTTGTAACTTTCTATGATTATATGCCAAGCAACTGGCCACGGCCATCTGTGCTGCTCCAACACTGTGTCTGCATAAATTAAACAGAGGAGTGGGTGCTGTTTACTGCAGTTATTCACAGTTGTTCCTATGATTTACCTTTGGAGTTGGCCTCCTTACATCTATTGTGAATGGCTGAGACTACAAGCAATGTTGTTCCATTAGAAGAGAAAAAGAGAAAGAAAAATGCTCATTATAAAGCATAATACAATGACTCATGTTCATGTACCCTAAAGGGCTGCCTGACATGAGGAAAGGGAGAGAAGATATGTTTCCGGTCACAATGGTTTTATTCCATTATTAAGGCTATTCATCTTCTGAGAAAATAAAATTTATAATGCTCCCAATGAAGGTGCCAATTAGACTATGAAACAATTCTGCAAATTAAAGGCATAAGTAACTGGCATTCTGTATTCACAATGTTGAAGGAAAAGAGTAAACATCTGATGTGGTGAAAACCTGATATCATCTACTAGTTAATCAACTTGCTTACCAATGTCACTTTTCTTACAATAAAATCCAGACTCAGTTTTAGAGTCTCTTCCTGGGTATAGAGTATTGCAGTAAAATCTTGGGATCGAGCATTTAATGTCTCGGGAGGTAAAGAGCATTTTAAAACAACTTACTACACACTCTGCCAGAAGGTGTAGAGATGAAAAACTAAGCAACATAGATGGACTCTGAGTTCAAGAATTTATAATTTTACCAGAGATGTAAAATTCTCAGAGGAATCTTGTATGTATGGTCTCAGGACTAGTAATTTATTTTTAATAAATTGCACAGCTTGGTCAAGTAAAAAGTTTAACTGATTTTTTGAATTTCCTGACTTGATTGGTGTAGGCCTTGCCCTTGTGAGCTCCTATTTTGGATCACATATTCCATTTGTATAGCGCACCAAGAGTACTGGCTTTCCTTTCTTGAGAAATTGGTCTCTTCCTCAGTATTAAAGTGGATTCTGTGGGAACTTTTATTTTAACTGTGCTATGTGAAGGCACTTAGCAAATCTTGATTCAGACTCCCATGATGTGGAAGACTGAGTCAGGAAGCAGAGTTAAGCAACAGTAGATGCCCATTAATTCTTCCAGATCTCTGGTCCCATTTGGTAAATTGCTATGTAGGTCCCTTGGGTCCCAAGGAGGCCCTGACTCACTCACTTGTGATCATCTGTCTGCTGAGAGTCATCAGTAGGCTTGGAGAAAAGGCAAGTGTGGCTACCCAACCACAGCAGTAGCCAAGGGAACCTTCCAGCCCTCCACCCCCACCCAAGGGTTCCTATGCTGTGCCAAGTTGGTACCTCTTTCTCTGTTGGCAGCTGTGAAGTCAGGGAAGATTGCATTTATCATGAGGTTAAAGGTAGAGGAATGCTTTTCCACAGAGGGGTGACTCTTGGTGACAGGATCAGATTCTGTGACACTGATCATTGTCACATAAGTCAGGCAGACACATGGTGTCAGTGACCAGTGAAGACAGAGTTCACCAGAGACCAGCCCAAGAGTCTGCCATCTTGCTCTCTTTTTTTCTCCCTCGTGGACTGGGTTGAAGCTACCTTCTCAGACTCTGGAAGCTGGTGGTAAACAAAACCATCCTTCATTACAAAGCCATTTGCTACACACAGTTCAGAAACGAGGAGAGAACCAGGAGCTATGTGAGCAGTTCCTCCTTGGCTGCCAGACTGTGCTCAAAGCAGCAAAGACTGTGACCTTGATGTGACCTCGAGGTTCCAAAGACTCTTAACAGGTATCTATAAATGCAGAGGCTATAATTAGGCTCTCCCAGCACAACACTGGGTTGGGCCTTGGACTTCGTTGTTTCAGAGTGAAAAGTGATCACCGACCACCGTCTTCCATCTCAGTGGAAGGATGGCATGACTTGGGCCATTAAAAGACCCTTATGGGATTAGGAAGGGTTGAGTTTTCAAATATTTTCCCCTTCGGTTTGGAACAAGACAGCATGGACATACATTTACCCCACTGACATGGTTACCAGAAGTATCCAGGGTGGGAGGTCACAAAGTGGTCTTGCTGGCTGGGTCAGCTTGCACAAGAGACAGGACCGATGGGTCTGAATTCTTCTGTGTCATCATTTCTGTATGTCTGGGTTGTGCCTCACTCAGGACTGCAAAGGCAAATTGCAGTGAGTTGGAATGGCCTGACATTTCTGTGACATCTCCTTTTGTTGCAAATGAATTCTCCCAGACACCACACCACACAAGGGAAATGCATATGGAAAATATCTCATTAACATCTCTTAAGACAGACAATAAAACCAGACTACTCAGAACTAGCAAAGATCCACTTTGAAGCCCGAGGAACCCTCTATGGCAATTTATGATAAATTCATGAAATTTTGCAGCTAATTGTTACATGCCTATATTACCTTCTAGAAGGAGGGTGCTGTTAGGGCAGGGTGCTGTGAATTCTATTGAAATTTTCTAACAATTCTTTAGCCCAGAGACATGCTTAAGAGAAAAATGCAAGGTATTAGAGCTGGAGGGGGACACAGACTGCTGGGTCCCACACCTGATTTTTCCAGATGCCAAATCACATGCAGTCAGGGTTCTTGACCTACCCAGGACCACACAGCTAGCTGTGGCAATGCAGGCACTGGACATGTTCACAGTCTGAACATCCTGATCTGTGCTTTATTTAAAGACTGCATTGTCCCTCTAAGAATGGTAGGTCTGCATGTGCACAAGTGGCCAGACTGATGATGCTCCACTGACTGACTGAAATAGGCCAAGACTTCCTTCATCAGTCAGGAAGCCAGAAAGGCAAGGAAAGGATTTGGTCTTACAGGGTGGAGACAAAATGTCTTCTTTCAATAGATCACTAAGTTCTCCATTTAACAGGAGCCAAAGAACAAGATCAGACCCCAAGCAGCTTACAAACAAAATTCTTCCCTCACCCAGATATCTGCACATTCACAGTAGAGGCTGTGGACCATCAGGGCCATGTCACTGTGAAGACTTCCCTGTGATGTGGCTATAGCTTAATTCTCGTGTAAGGAGAGGTTAGCTCACATTCAACAGGATGGCTTAAATTCAAACCAGGGTGCAGCACCCTCTGTGCATTGGTTACAGTGGCGCATCAGAACTCAGAGAAAAGGGGCTGGGAGTTTTCTAGCCCCCACAAAGGCCTGGAAGCACTACTCAGCAGCAAGCTGGGGAGTCTGTGTCTCATTCTAGGTGCAGTTATGTCTGGTGATGCTGCAGAATCATCTGTCTTGCCACGTGGGGCTTTTTGTTCAAAAGGCTTGACCTTGCTTTGACATGAGCTGGTAAAAGTCAAGGACAGTGGGCCAGTGGGGCGGGGACCATGGCCAGAGTCTAGGAAGGTAGAAGAAGCTGAATCCTTCAGGTCCAAATTTGTTTCCCTACTTCACACAAGCAAAAGGATCTGTTTTAAGAAGGGCTCTTCAACATGGAAAACAGTGTGGAGATTCCTTTAAAAACGAGGAATAAAACTACCATATGACCCAGCAACCCCATTACTGGGCATATACCCTGAGGAAACCATAATGGATACAGAAACCTGTACCCCAATGTTCATTGCAGCACTATTTACAATAGCTAGGACATGAAAGCAACCTAGATGTCCATCAACAGATTAATAGATAGAAGCTGTGGTACATATATTCAATGGAATATTACTCAAGCATAAAAAGGAACGCATTTGAGTCAGTTCTAATGAGATGGATAAACCTAGAGCCTTTTAAACAGAGTGAAGTAAGTCAGAAAGAGAAAGATATATATTAAAGCAAATATATGAAATCTAGAAATATGGTGATGAATCTATTTGCAGGGCACAATGGAGACACAGACATAGAGAACAGACTTGTGGACACAGTGGGGAAGGAGAGGGTGGGATGAATGGAGATAGCATGGAAACAAATACTATCATATGTAAAATAGATAGCCAATGGGAATTTGCTCTGTGACTTAGGGAGGTCAAACCAGTGTTCTGTGACAACCTAGAAGGATGGGATGTGGTCGGAGGTGAGAGGGAGGTTCAAGAGGGAGGGGACATATGTATACCTACGGCTGATTCATATTGATGTATGGCAGAAACCAGCACAATATTGGAAAGCAATTATCCTTCAATTAAAAATAAATAATTTTTTAAAAAAAGTAACCCTGAAAAAAAATTGTTAGTAAAATGATAAGAGTTAAAAAAAAAAAAGAAGAAGAATGAAAGCGCTGTTAAGAAGACAAATATGAGAAAGGAGACATGCAGGCTGAGACTGAGGGGAACAGAGGGATGGGGTCAGCTGGGTTGACTGAGCACCTCCCTCCAGCAGGGAGCCAAGGGATGGGCAAGGTCTGCCTTCAGGGTGACTGCCATTTCCTGCCCACTTTCTTATCACCTGAGTGGCTCGCTCAAACGTGAATGTGTTAGCAATGGAAGAACGAAGGTTGGAATGCTGTTTAAAGTAGAGAGCCTCCAGTACAGTGACTCACTAAGGGAACAGGGTGCATTTGTTGTGGGTCCAGAGTGGGAGAGACTTGTCAGACTGGGAACACTTTCCCAGGGGAGACATCTGGTTTTGACTTTACTGGGTGGTAAAGTTTCTATGTAGGATTCTCTCCTGTGAACAAGTAAAGCTCTATCGGTCTTATTAAGGAGAGAAGAGCCATCTGACTCTCATAGACAGCACTCCCCTTGTGATAGGATCCACTACTTGGTAGCTCAGTGGTAAAGAATCCACTTTGATGCAGGAGACTGCCTGATATGCAGGAGACACAAGTTCCATCCCTGGGTTGGGAAGATCCCCTGGAGGAGGAAATGGCAGCCCACTTCAGTGTTCTTGCCTGGGAAATCCCACAGACAGAGAAGCCTGGCGGGCTACAGCAGATGGGGGTCGCAAAAAGTCGGACACGACTTAGCGACTAAACCACCACCAGGATAAACAGAGGAGAACACAGAGTACATGACGGGCTGGTCTTGCTGTCAGGTGGTGGTGGGGCCAACAGCCCACAGACTCACGTCTCCACTGCCCAGCCTTCCCCTCTAACAGCGCCCGCCACACAGCAAAGCCTAGACTGTGGATCTCACCTCACTCTGACCTTGAATGCTCTGAAGAAGACCCATGTGCTTGCTCCGTTTTACTCACATGCACACTGTGATTCAGGCTTTCCCAGCTCCTGCCAGACCCTCCTCCTGGCCTCCTAGATAATTATCCAGATTCACAGAAATGGACACGTACAGAATTCCTGTCAATCTCTTGTCCTAAATGGACCTTTATGGAGCTCTGGTCTTATTCTCTCTTGGGAGAAGTGGCAATAACCCATCTCTTCCAAACTTACATTCATCTATTATTCTTTCTTTCCTTCAGTACTATTAATTGATCACTGACCATGTGTCAAGCACTGGGCTAGGTGCAAAGTGTTCAATTGAAAACACGGGTGGGACTTCCCTGGTGGTTTAGTGGTTAAGAATCCACGAGGCCATTCAGGGGACAGGGGTTCGAGCACCAGCCCAGGAACTAAGATCCCACATGCCACAGTGTAACTGAGTCCTTGAGTCACAGCTACTGAGCCCTACACACCTAGAGCCTGTGCACCCCAACTAGAGAAATCCTGCACACAGCAAAAAAGACACAGGGCTGCCAAAAACAAAAATGAAAAAACTTAGTACCTCTAGTCAGGTGGACAGGGGCAGGGGATGTCCATTGAGGCGGGGAGGCGGGGCACATGGCAGGAGCTCCAGTGCTGTTTCCCCGGAGAAGAAAGGAGGATGCCCCAGGGGCAGGATTCAAGGAGTCCCGCCTCTTTATCAGGGCAAATTGCTGGTTGACACTCCTGGGGCACATGCATCTTTTTCAGCACTTTAAAGAAATGCCTGCATCCCAGTGAGGCCTTAGCGCAGGAGCAGAGGGTTTTCTCATTTTACAGGTGAGGAAACTGGAGATCCTTGGAGGTGACAGGGCCAGCCAAGGTCATACAGGAGCCCAAAGTAGAAACTGAATAGTCAGCAAGGACCATGACAGGAGGGGGGGGAATGTGAATCTACTGCCCAAGGAGAATCCAGCTAATACACGGCATAAATTTAACAAGATTCTTTTAAAAAAACAAACTCCCTGATTGAAACTTAATCAGGAATGTATCATGCAGGTTGGGACACTGAAGGTCAAGGCTGTGGAACTGCACTCCATATATCTCTTATCCTACCTCCTAAAATATAGCCAGACAGACATCCATGACCCCAGACAGGTCCTCTCTCTTGGGAAAGCAATAGGCTTTACTAACTTTCTATGTAATCAGTCACAGACCAACAGCAGATTAAGTGGTTTTGGTTCAAGAGGGGAAACATAAAACAGGTGACCTCTGATATATGAAAATACAGAAGGAAGGGTCCACATCAATCATTCTAAACCACAGGTAGATAGTGACCTATTTTCTTTGTTTTAAAAGGAGCTGAGCAAAAACCACTACAATATTGTAAAGTAATTACCCTCTAATTAAAATAAATAAATAAATTTAAAGAAAAAAAAAAAGGCGCTGAGGATGGCACCCTCCACCCCAGGCCTTTATTATGAGGACAGCATGAATTAAAATACATTAAAGTGCTTAGGGCAGTGCTGGGCATAAGCACTCAATTTGTTAGCTGTCCTTGCCCTCAAGTTCTTGTAAAGATATGGGCACCCAGTTTGAGAAGCATGTGTGCAAAGTGGCTTGTCATGTCCAACTCTTTGTGACCCTGTGAACTGTTTTCCATCAGGCTCCTCTGTCCTTAGGATTCTCCAAGCAAGGATACTGGAGTGGGTTGCCAGGCCCTCCTCCAGGGGATCTTCCCAACCCAGGGATAGGACCCAAGTCTCTCATGTCTCCTGCATGGATGGGCGTGTTCTCTAACATTAGTGCCACCTGGTAGAGAAGTCTTCCAAAAGCACAAAACTCCCCCAAGATCCAGCAGCACTATGATTGTGCCTTTAGGAAAAATAAGATCAAAGTAGACACAGGACTCTTCTCCCTGTAACACCCAGTGTAGAAAATCCCACACTTCATCATGCAAGCAAGGCTTACCATACAGCGGGATGAGTAATTCACAGGTGTTCATGTAAAATGGCACCACGGATTCTAGTGCGGACAATCAAGGAGAAGCGACTTTGGGACTTCC